GCTTGTTTATTCTTTCTTCGTTACTCCTGTTCGGACCTATTTCATGTGTTCCAGGAAGCCACTGCATAGTTCCTAATCTGTATTGAAAGGCGCAAGGACAGCTTTCTAGAACACATGAAGCGAGTTTGAACAAAAATAACGAAGAGAGAATGGACGAGAGCACAAAACCCCATTTTCCTTACTACATAGAGTACAAAAGCGCTCATTCTCCAACCTCGCCTCAAGATCGAAGCGCTTCTCATCAAAAGGGGATTCGGGGTAGAAGAATGAGATCGAAACGATTGACTCTGAGAGGAAATTTTTGGAAGCGGTGAAAATTTCCAACTCTCGCCGCAAAAGGGCGGCTGCGACGTATGCAGCACAGTTTCGCCACGGTCCAGCACATGCGAAAACCGTGTTGGAACTATTCCGGAGTTCAGGAGCCGTATGACCCCTGTTTAAGTCGTGCCTAGAAGCTGCCTTTAATGGGACTCAAAGAGTCAAAATCACGCATTTTGCTAATACTTCTGCTCAAAGAGGTCATTTGGCGTGGTTGATAAATTTGGTAACGTCATTCTTTTTTTTGGTTGCAGTGGTTATATGGTACACTGAGACCTCAATCGTTTCAAGCTTTGTTCAGTCAGGGGAAGACAGCTCTAAAACGTTGGGCAACATGTGCTTGAGGATGAAGTTGGAAGTAAGAAATGTAGGGCTTGTATCATAGAATGAGGAAAACAAACATGCATCACAGCATCAGCGAGCCATAAACGTGACAAAAACCGCCGGTGCGAGACCGCGCCATGCTAATTTTTGCTTAATCCGGATTGAAATGGACTTTGAGGAAAGATTGAACAGCCTTTGAGATGAAACAGTCTTTGAGGAAAGATCTGATAGCAATTCGAATCCGCGTTGCGTGTGCTCTGCGCTGTTCCTATGGGAGGGTAGCCGTTACACATATCGTATGGGAAAGTGTTTTTGAAGACAGCGATGTCCAGGCATCCGTTCTTAGTATCCTATTACCGTACACGGATGATTGCATCAGCCTGCGTACTTTGCAGCCCATCTGGGCAGGCGCAACAGCATACAACTATGCAAGTCGTCCGCCAAATACAGTCGCGGGATCTGGTTTGGAGAGGATATCTCATTTGCGAGTGCACCATTTGCGCTGCTGTTCGGGCAATGTCTAGGCAGGCCCCCAAGATGAGCTTTTACGCGCAAAATCACGTGCAGATTTGCCTGGACATTGTTTCCAAACAGAAGGGTATAATTGCAGTCATTGAAAAGAGGACCGCAATGTAGTTAGATAATTCCTGCCTTTGAGCGGGTTTTTCAAGCGAAACGTTTCAAAAAACGCAATGTTGAGAATAAATAAGTGAGAAGGACCCCTACTGGTTTTGTCCGCAGGGTAGTGCTAAACTCAAACTGCTCTAGGGGGCGCATGCATTCATCCTCGCCCAAGAGGGGATCGCAGCTACAAAAGAAAGCTTTATACTCTCAAGCTCCAGATATCTGGATTTCACACTGTCTATCTATCCGTAAGTATTCCCACCATCTTTCAGTATGAACATATTATACGGCAGCAAAAAGCTGTACAAGCCGCATTTCCCAATTTTCTACGATCCTCTCTGATCCCTGCGGCCGAACGTCTTTTCTTCAAAGTCATTTTTCTTCCTTCGAAGATAACGAAAACCTTCCAAAGTTGCACTGATTAACCACCCAAACAGTGCTAAGCATGTTGCTGATAAGACCAAACAGTTTCTGTAATGTAGATTTCGATAAACCCCAACTTTCGACTTGTGGTTCATCTCAAATTTCATGACTTCGACCAAAAGTTTGCAGCCACTCTAAAAAATAGCTATAATTCACTTTGCAATCTATAATACATAATGAACCCAAATGGTAGTATTAAATGCAAATTACTTCCACTTTCCGATGTATTAAATTATTTTGCGATTTGATGCAAACAGATTGAACAGAACGTGATTTTGGAAAATTGGCAGAAATGAGGTTGGCCAAAACTTGGAGCTACTATTGCTAATCGTCTTTGTGAAAGTCTCTAAACATTCTCGTGCTATGGATTTGTCCATAACTGCTGTAATGTGCCCGACATCAGCTTCACCATACTACAAAAAAGAAGACTGTATGGACCAAATTGGTTTGTCCGCAAGTTGACTGTGAAAATCGAAAAAATATTAGATTTTGGGCAGGTAATTGAGTTGCAAATGCTCTTATAGAAACTCTTACTAATTATAGGTTTGGAGTCAATCAATTATGTGACAGAAATAGCAGTACTTGGTTTAAATTCAATTTGAATGTCACTTCTGCTCGGATTTGACGCATTTTGCAGCTCGGAAGTCTGGCGCCGCGGTCCGCAGAAACGCAATCTCACTGATAAGATTGTTGTTACAAAGACGAACGCTCGATCGAAGCTTTCAATGTTTCACAGATAAGATGGAGCTGTTTTTGCCATAAAAAAGTTTGCGCGATTTGCGCACCTAACAATTTCTATTGGGACATCGCAGTTTTCTTGGATGCAAAAATTTGCGGAGGCTTTTCTGTGGCAAAAACAGCTCCACCTTTTCTTTAGAACTCTGAAACCTCCGAACAAGCGTTCGTCTTTGTAACAACAATTTTGTCAGTGAGTTTGAGTTTCTTGCGGACCGCGGCGCCAGACTTGCAAGCTGCAAAATGCGCCAAATCCAAGCAGAAGTGACAGTCAAATTGAATTTAAACCAAGTACTGCTATTTCCGTCACACAATTTGATTGACTCTGAACCTATAATTGGTAAGAGTTTCTATAAGAGCATGCACCACTTAATTACTTGTCCAAAATCTAACATTTTTTTCGATTTTCACAGTCAACCTGCGGACAAACCAATTTGGTCCATACAGTCTTCTTTTTGTAGTATGGTGAGGCTGATTGTCGAGCACATTCCAGCAATTATGGACACATTCGCAGCACAAGTACTGGAAGTTTAGAGACTTTAACAAAGACTACTAACAAGAAGTGGCTGCAAGTTTTGGCCAACCATTTCTGACACTTTTCCAAAATCACCTTCTATTTGCATCAAATCGCAGAATATCTTGACACATCGAAAAGTAGAGTAATTTGCACATAACTATCATTTGGGTTCATTATGAAGAATGCGGCGTAAATTATAGCTTCTTTTCAGGGTGGCTGCAAACTTATGGCCAGCACTGTAGGAAAGGATAGTAGGGATAACTTACGCTAGACAGCCTGTAATACAGATATTTGGAGTTTCAGCATATGAACATTTGAGTTGTGATCCCCGGCGGGTGTGTTAATGCATGCGGCCCTAAACCTTCGTTTCCACTTCAAAGTGAGCACTTACGGACAGTACTGATAGAAGCATTAAGAAAGTGAAAACAAAGGAAAAAGTGAAGTCATCATTGCGCTCATTACTCTTCTTAGCAAACAGGTGGATAAAATGGCAAGATTGAATAGTTAATTAGGGGATCAGTCTCGGGGGAACATGGGCGTATGGCAGACGGCACTTAAGGGATGGCAGACACACACCCAACACAGCGAGCTATGGTTTTAGTAGCATTTGTTGATTTTTTCCTTTCCTCTTATTCTTCTCGTTCGATCCTCAAAGAGGGGATGGGGAGCAATTTTGGTAGAATCAGGGTCTTTTGTTCCAAAATCCTCTCATTTCATAAAGAGAAGTATCGTTTTAAGGGAGGATTCGGATTATCCGAGGTGAAGCTCCAGATGTAAAGATCATAATCAAATCGGGAATAGAATGAAGCAAGTATAGTGATTAATATCTCAAAGAAGATTCCAGCAAAGCAAAAAATTGTTTTTTAGCCTTTATTTATGCGCTAGAAAGAAGATCAGCTAACAGCTTTTTAGACTGAATAGGTTTCGGAAGCTTAAAAAATTGTTGGAGTTCAATATCTATAAAAAACTGCTAAATCTTTAGCAGAGAGTGGTCCACGATAAAGATGATTAACTCACTACGGAGTGATTTTCAACGCTTGCGACTTGTCAGTGCTCCTGGTCGTGTCATGACGATCAGAATGATACATAACGCTTAGGGTTTCGTTAAGACCCCGCACATCCACGACCATAGTCAAGTCAGCCATCGGCTATGGCCTTCCGTCTATGCTCGTTGCGCCGCGTGTTGCGCGCTACCTTGCTTCTCTAAACACGGAGCGCGGGACATTTGCCTCTGGTGCCCCTCTCTTCGTTGTTCTGAACCCAATTTTTGCAAACTTTGTATCATATGGAAGCTCTTGATTTTTATTTTCACGCTGATGTATTCAGAAATCTCTTTTTTCTTCGTTCTAGTTCTTCTCACGCTTCGTCAATGGATCTTGTTTTTTTTGTTTATAGTGAGCCAGCATCTCAGTGCTTGGTTCTTCGATTGTTGTGAAATATGCGATTGAAAAACTTTAAAAAGTGCGTTTGGCTCAAAACTCATTACGGAGAGCAACCATTTTTTTTTCAAGCTTAGGGTATCTTGCCCTGTATTATGAAAACAAAGCTGACTACGTCCAAGAAAGAGCGAAAAAGGGGTAAACTAAAGGACGCATCAAAGACTAGATTGGCTTTGACGTGCATTTCGACTTACAACTAGTAAAAACAAAACTTTGTTCATGTTTATGTTCTCCTTGAAATCACCACTTCCGAAACATGGTTTGTTTTGAAACAATCACAAAGAAGCGATTAGCTTTCCTGTTGTAGATTGCCTGGTCCTTAGCCAAAATCTGCGATTCTCGAAATGCCGCCAAATTAAAGATTACAAAATCATTGCAACCTTTTCATCCGTTTCTAATGGTTTCTTGTGCTTTGCTGTTTGTCTTGGATCTTTTTCTCCTCTGATTTTCCAAATAATAAAAAAAAATATCTAATTTCCGTTTCTTTCCTGCCACTAAAAACAATTCACTTCCCGTTTGGGGAGACATTCAGACAACCTTTACTTTCAAGGCCTTATCAGAATGTCAAGGTATGTGCCACAAGCCTAGTAGAATCAGGTGCAAATGTAAAAAAAACACAAATAATCTTCATAGAAGAGAAACAATACATAATCACTACCTAACAAGAAACATCAACTTTGTAGAAAAAGAACAAACCACGAGTTATAGGGGAACAATTGATTTTAAATGATAAACATAGTTTTGAAAAATACCAAGCTCACAAAAAAAAACTCGTCAAAGTGAAATCTAGTAAAGCTTCACGGAAAAACAAATACAAATAATTCTAATACACGTCACAAATTACAACGATAACACTGACACTGTTCTGACCCTAAATAACCATGAGTACGAATAATTTACGAATAAATAATTATGCAACGTGAGATTCGGACAGTTTAATATTCCCGTCACCAAACCAAAACACTGCACTGAACACTATGGGATAATTACTACTTCTATGCAAAAGGTTTATTCCTCATCCATTGATGTTCTTTCCATGACGGGTACGGGGAAGCCATGTTTCATATCTTTTGCAGGCCAGTCGTACGTTTTGTTGATGACTTCTTCGTATTCTACGGTGTAAATTTGTTGGCGGATAAACATATCCTGTAAAAACATTGTACTTTTATAGAAAAGAAAAATTTTGAAGAGCTCAAATAGAACATTGAATATCATCAGATCTAATATATAAAGATCAAGAAAAAATATGCTTTTGTGTTTTGGACTGTTGAAAATTTGAAAAGAAATCGACGCTTAATTTTGCAATAGTTTATATAAAAAATTTTGAGAATAGGCCAAACAGGCGGTACATAGCTCTTTTGCGCTTGTACCAAAAATATGAATTGTATTGAACGTCGCAAAAATTATAGTCCAAATGTGACAGGTCTAAACTAATATTTTGCATGTCCAACAACGTCTACGCGTAAGAATGGCCGCAAACACATTATTCCACGTTTTACGCGCTATGGCAGTTTTCCACGCGCAAATGTTGTAGGCACCGCAGGTGCACTTCAGTCAAGTCTACTGGATATATAGCAGATCATATTAGACAACGTAAATTAATCAAACAATTGTTTTCGTCAGAAAAAAACTGACGAAAAATCATAAAAAGAAAATTCTTCTGACCTTGTCTTCTGGTTCTGGATGCAGCGTTGCTAGGTTTTGCTCGTATAGGTAGTTACCGACCTTCAAAAATCATCATAACAAATGATAAAAACTTCACAATTGCAAACTCACATCTTTAGCTATGAGGACAGAAAGTTCTCGAATATCTTTCAGACGAGGATAAAGCCGCGCATAGTTTTCCAGTTGTTTGTTGGAAACAAAACTGGCACAGCGCTGTAAAAAAAACAAAAAATTACCTGAGTAGGCTAAAGAAAAAAATTACAAACTATTTGAAAGCGACGCTACAAAAGATTTTTTTTTTGAAATTTCTCAACGAGGCACAAACAATTCCAAAAATACGGGTAAGGTTATGGAATGTGAATGAACTTACCCTGGCTGCGAGAAGGAATGCCATCTCTGGTATATGCTTTGCCTTGAAGAGTATTGCTCCTAGTGCTACACCAGGGAAGATGTAGGCGTTGTTACCCTGACCAGGTTTGTATATTCTACCATTGAGTTCCACATTTTCGAATGGTGATCCTGATGCGAAAAGGACCGATCCCTGTAAGAATAACATAGAGTTGTCAAATGGTCATCTGCACGTTCTCAACATACATTTGTCTTTTGATACGCGTCTTCTGCCGTGCATTCCGCTTTCGAAGTTGGATTCGACAAGGCAAAAATGATCGGTCGCGCATGATTTTTGGCCATTTCACTAATAACCTCTCCAGTAAAGACCCCTCCTACGGTGCAGGCACCTGAAAATTTTGCAGATGATATCATGCGAATAAAATAGCGAAATCTCACCTATAAGTCCATCGGGTTTGACAGTTTTCACTACCTCAAGTAGATTTTTCGTGGGTGCCATATCCTGAAAAGAAAAGCAAATTTTGACGTGAAGATGTGATAGAAGTTTCGAAATTCTAATGTATTCCTCTGATCTATTTTTTAAAGTCAAAATAAACATCGTGGTCAGAATCTGGATACCACCTACAACAAACGTAAAAATTTACAAAATCAACAGCTTTTTGAATTGCGTCTTTATTCTTCCTGGTTTAGCAGTGAAAATGAAATAAATATATGTTGAATTTGCTTATATAAAAGGTTAACAAACTACTGTAGAGCTTTTAGAAAATGAGTATCTATGTATAAAATACGAATATTGACTATGGTTATAAGTAAAGGACAGCTTATGTTAAAAAAATGTTACATAAAATTTAGAAAAAAATATCCGCAAAGTGAAAAAGACACTTTCATTGGTTAAAAGTAATCGCGCAAATCAAAGGATTACTTGTTCCTTATTTTTCAGCTGGTTTACATGCTACTCGAAGGTTTACAAAATTCATCGTTTCCAAATAAACACGTCTAAACTCTCGTCCAGTACCGTAAGCAGTGACTTGCCCGCTAGGAAGGAGTACGGTTTTGGCGAGAATAAAATTTTCTCGGCCGCGAATGTGAATTATATGAGAGGTGGAGACACTCAGATTTGCCAAGAAGTTGGTTTGAAGGAATTTCACTACGGTACTGCATTTGGAACTTTTGCCCTTGGAACAAGAGCGGAAAATTTTGGCAACAAAAAATGCCTATTTCGATTTTGAGCCTTAACCCGAGTTGTCCAGAAAGGTGCGAGATGATTCAGATTTTTTCAGATGACTCAACCAACCTTTGCAAATTTCACATGATGATCATCAATTTGTTTGCGGCTTTTTGTAACAAGGCCATCAATGTCCATAAGATAAATGTTTGCACATGCTGCTTCTTCGCTAGCACCTTCGTCGACCATCTGTCGAACGCATAATTCAGCTATACCAGTTGAAGCCTATATTTGGCCCATTATCCTCGAAAACTACCGTAATCCACCATAACTTACAGCTCCAGCGCCGAAGAACACAAGTTTATGATCTTTTAGCGGTTTTTTTGTCACTCGTGTAGCCGTGAGAAGACCGGCAACAACAACAGCGGCGGTTCCTCAAATTAACAAGGATTCTTTCCAAACACAAACCGTTTTGGCAGAACGCCAAAAAAGTTAGATTACCTTGTATATCATCGTTAAAAGTGCAGTAGACGTTCCTGTATTTGTCCAGAAGTCGGAATGCATTTTGATTGGCGAAGTCCTCAAACTGGATCAGTGTATCCCTGCCGTACCTGAGACGAAGACATCATCAAAACTTTTTTTATAAATTTTGAAAAATTGAAATGCTAACTTCTTGGTGCAAGCTTTCATAAAATTGTCCAAAAGCCTATCGTATTCTTCTCCACGCACTCGTTTTCGTCGTAGACCAGTGTAGAATGGATCATTTAGCAAACCCTGGAAATAATTCCAATCAGACCTATCTCTTCTCACTCCTGGCCTAGTGTCACCCCTCAAAAATTTCACCTACCTGATTATTAGTTCCAACATCAAGAATGACGGGAAGACACCATTCGGGTCGTATTCCAGCTAAAGCGACGTATAAGGCCATTTTTCCAACTGGGATACCAATGCCATAAGTGCCAAGATCTCCAAGACCCAGAATTCGTTCGCCATCAGTGACCACAATAGCCTAAAACAACAATCATAGTAGGTTCAATTTTTTCCAATAATTGTTTTTTTTTTTGAAAATTTGTGTGTTCGTAGTCTTTAGTGACGGAAGAGAAACATTTTTGAAGGAAGGAACGCATCAGTTTTCTCTCATAGGTTGGGTTCAAGCCGTCCAAAATTTTTTTTTTCAAAAACTCAAAGGGAAAGAAGGCGTGGCTTATATTTTTTGACAAAAACCATTCAATATTGTGAGTTCTAATTTTTAATTTCACTAGCTAAAAGTGGAAGCAAGCCACCTACATTATTCATGAAGTCTACATAGACCACTAGAAGTTTGCACCCATCCTAGACGGACCCCCTTCCTCTCCCCCCCCCCCCCCCCCTCCCCCTCCTTGCCATAAAAATTCCGATTCCGACTATCAAATAGGTAGCCATAGAGACCGATTAGCTTTTCCAGTTCTCTACCCGCCTCCTTACAAAAAGTTTGTACTGTAAACTAATGCATCCTCCTTCAACTTACCCTAACATCCTTCGACGGCCAATTGCTCAAAATCTGGTAGATCTTGCTGATGCTGTTGTCGTTGATGGTTACGTAAATACCCCTAAATCGGTGATTTTCGTTCTGAGAACCTTACACATAATCGTATGCTAAGCTCACTTTGGACTCCTATAAATAAACCCAAACTTCTGACATGCTAATCCGACAGTGGGTGTGTAGACGATTGGCATCAGCTCTTTGATGTTGTCACAGAGCACGCGATAGAAGAGCTTTTCCGTGCGATCTTGCAAAGCATCCAGCTGGATATACCTGGAACAAAAGCACTTCTACAGTAACGGCTGTGTAATTTGACGAAATATGCATAAAAACAAAGGCTAGCAAGACGTCAGAAAAAATCTGTTGAAAAATCAAGGAAAATTATTGTGAGATAGAATGAATAAATACGACTTTTTATGGCTTGATCAAACAACCGCGGTTATTTCATACATAAATATCATGATCTATAAAATTCCGCATATTTCAGATATATGAAAATTACAAAACCCTGGCGTTATTATGAGATGAGCTCAGAATAAACTAGCAAAAAAGAATGCGGTTAATAATAAAGTAATAAATAATTTATGATAAGTTATCCACGAGCCATTTGCAACTCAATATGTGAGCTTGCACGCTGTGCGCGGAAATCGACGACACCCTGCAACTCCTCCTCAAAGTTCCTACCGTATCAAACCGTAGAAATGTGTACTACTACGTATACATATCCAATCAAATCAAAAAAGAAACAAGGAAACAAATCTTAAAAATCGTCAAGTAGCGCGTATGTTGTGCAATAGGCGTAGTGATTCACAAACTTGACGATATGTCTATACATAGGAGAATCAGAAGTTTATAGTTTATAGTCCATACCAGAAGTTTGCGAAGTTTGAACCATACACCTTTCAGAAGTCATACCTCAGATTAGTTGCGCAAACACGAAGCAGTCGAATTCATCATTTCACTGCGAATAAAGCAAAGATAGTAATTCAGCTTGCATAACACAGCTTATGTTGTTGGCTTGTAATTTACAAAATTCACGGTAGGTGTACGGTAGGGGTTCAAAATTATAGGTTTGCAATCAACATTTCAAGCATTTCCCTAGCACTTATGTAGCAACCTGCGCTGAGACAAAAAGACAAAGAAGTAAGGTTTTTTATTCTTTCTGTTGAATCTTAGTCAATTTATCCCTTTTAGTATCTATTATGCGCCTGAACCAATCACATAACGAAATATTTGTTGTTGAAGGAACCTCCCATTTGTAACGCTTCGCTGCACCCTCTCAATACCTATTTGTGCTAGCCATTCTTCTTCATGAAAGAAGGAAGCTAGAGACAAAGTAGACATATAAATTCATACCCCTCAATTCCATTTTAAACAATTTGGTCACAATATAACGTCAAAAGTATGCAGTGTTCTACCCATTACCGTTACTCTCAAATGTAATTGGCGGCATCTTTGAAATGTCCAGACTTATAATTCACATTTGTCAAATGACACTGAACGACTGACAATCATATTGTAGATTTTCACGTACAGTATTTCGAAACCAAAATTTCTCGATCTGCACAAACCACAGAGCTTCGTTGTTTGCTAATCTGTTTTTAAGTCCAAGTTTCAGCCCCTACATCTTTCGAAAATGACTGTAATCAGTGAGGTAATTCATGGGAGCCAAAGAATCATGAGCGTATCTTTTATTATTTGTAGATGTTCAAAGCAAAACTATAAAAAATTCTTGAGGAAGCTGGTTTTGCAAAAATTTCAAAAGAGCAAAGTTGCGAAATTCGAGAAACTTTCCACAATTAGACCGGAACTACGCTCATTATTCCGAGAAAAATAGCCTTCTGGTCTACTAATGCTTGTTAACCTTGTGTTTTTATTGTAATTTGAGAAGGAATGCAAAAATAATTTTTTCTATCTTAGAGTTTTTTATAACCTATCTTACCTAGCCAAATCATCTGGTTGTTCACGAAGTTTTGCCATAACTCTATACGCTTGTTGTTCTTCAGTCATGAAAGCAGGTGGAAGTAGTCCATGTATTCCAAGGTATTGCCTTTCATACAGAGAGAATGCCATGCCCTTAATTCTACACTCAGAAAAAGTTTCCAGGCCCATTAGACTCACCTTATTTAAGCGGGGAGTTTTCAGCAATTCCACACCCCTTTTTGAGGGGGTGATTCTTTCTGGGCGGTAGAGTTTATGCAATCGTAGTTGTTCTGGATCACTGAGATCAATATCTTGGAAAGCTGCAGTTGAAGTGGACACTGTTCGAAAACAGTGTTTCACCCTAAAATCAAAATGTTTCAGGATCGAATTTTCCTGCAGGGGGGAGGGAGGGGGGGGGGGGGGTGATGGTGCAAGAGCAGACGGAATTATTCATGAAAAGCACTTACGTGTCATGCTGCAAAGCGCGAAGCATTGCTGAGATCGCTTCTGAAAATATTTACGTGATGTTTAGCATACGAAATGCAAACTTGACAGATGGCACACGTAGATAACGACAAAAAAAACCGTTAAAAAGCACAAAAATATAGAAAATTCTCAAATCTGGGTAAATGAACTCAATACGAATACTAAGTGGGAAGCCTTAGCTAAGTCGCTGCACAAGCGACAAACTAGCAAAACCTCGCCCGGTACCGCACTCTCTTTGCAAGCGGACCAATCAGCGTCCTCGAGTACGGTAGCGAGTACGGTAATGGGAGCAGTTTAGAGTTGAATTTCTCAGCCACGATTCAGTTCTATGAGCTGCCACTTGGGCAATGGCCTGCTTAAGGGCTCTCAAACAGTTCTCACATAAGAAACAAAAGTACCCAGACTTCAATGGACAGTGCTCCAAAAAAATGAACAGAAAGGAACTGTTAGCGAAAAATGTAGAAAAGGTGATTGACATGGGTTCACATAGCCATAAATTGCAAACATTTATGCAGAATATGGCATTTTGTGATTAAATTACAATGGCTTACGTCAATGTGCCGAGCACCATAAGAAACGCTGTCAAAATCGCTATTTATTCTACGAATGAAATGCCGATACAGCTGGTGCGCTGCAGTTTTGCAAAAATGTTTGCCCCCTCGAAAGTCGAAATGCGATCGCCTGGTGTCCCTAATAGGCAATTTGAATTTTTCTTTCTCGGCGAACAAACTGTAACCGACATACCGTAATTTAGGTACAGTGATATGGTTTCAAAAGACTTCAAATTAGTTTAAGTGTCGTTTTGCCGACGTTTTAGAAGTCAAACTTAATACGGAGAAAAAGAATGAAGGATTCCGTCGTGTAACGGAGCGAAACGACGGAGGAAAAGACGGACATGTGCATTTCAAATCGAAGAAAAAGCCCTCAGTTTTATGGATATAGCTGCACCTGAAAGCGTTCAGAAACATCTGCTCATTGACGTGTACGAAATGCAGAACGGATGGGAATGCCTGTACAAATATCGAGTGTGTGACGTTCTGTGGTTAGAGAATCCGAAAGTATCTTTTATAGATTCATTTCTGCAACAATGAACTTGAATGGAAAATTGTGAGGCAGGTAAACTTGAAATTATTGCAAAAGAATTCCTGTATGTGGGAAAATCTTTTTTTCAGGCAATTTTCCTTCGTGTAGATTACATTTATTCTCGCCTTGTTGAAGGATAAGTTTTGCAAGTAAAACAGTCATTTCTGCCAGGAGAATCATCTCAGAGGTACCTTGAATTTAGATGCAGCTTAAAGTGCTTTTCAAAGCCAAAAATGAATTTCAAAAAAAACAGGATGAGTACCGTCGACAAGTCCTTAGAGATAAACCTGTTTCACTCTAGAAAGGAGTTGTAAACAAATTTTAAAAAATAAGGGAACAGAACTTTCGGTACCATTTGAGATCCTGCTTTTGGATTTTTGCGTCGAGCCCGGCTATCAAGTTGTCAGCAATGTCAGAGGTACCTTGAGCACAGTAATGTTTTACGCGTTATTTTGATTGCGGTATCTTGACTTGGAAATCTGACAATTTCTCAAGGTACCACAACACAAGCATAAGATTGAAATCGTCGATTTGAAGGAAGTCACAATTTTTCCCGAAACAAAATATAGTTTCAGATCTCAAAGCCTTCGAGTTTCGATGATAAAAAACTAATGTAAACTCGAAAGGGGTCATACTATGGCTCTGTATCCCACTCCAGATGTCAGCAAAAGGCCTTGATAGTAAAGTTTGATTTTGAAATACTATTTCAGTACAATAAAAGACTATTCATAAGAAAGGATGAATAAAAGGGTATAAGTGGTGTAAAACTAGAAGCACTTTGCATAGGTCATGGACTTAAAAGTGGATAAAGAAGCAGAGTTGTAAGAGTTGGCTCAAGAGATCAATCTAAAGTGGAAACAAATAGAAAAATTTTTGAGAAAATTTTATGGGCGAAAAGGATTGAGGAGGAAAATTTCGCGGGAAAAGACAAAACGAAAACATGGTGAAGATCTGAAGAGAAGGCTTGTGTCGGCTACATATCTCACCGACAAAATGGAGCGAAAAAATCGTGACCTCAATCAGCGATGAGACGAGCTAGAGTTATGAGACAGATAGAAAACAGTATGTTTCTGAAGCGGAAGTGATCGACATCGCCGATGAAGAAACAAATCAATGCGACCTTTACATCAAAGAAAAACGAAAAGAAGAATTTCATATCAGTCGGCATTCTAGTGATGCAAATCATTGCCAAATGTGGTACGTAGACATCATTTCAGACTTTAAAAACGTCTCAACAAGTCATTTACGCCCTCGCATTCGAGAAATTTCCTTCATGTTTCTGTACTTAGTAGTAGAAAAGACGATGAATAAGCGTGAAATGAGTCATAAAGAAACTTGGAGGAACGATATTTGATGACGTATCAAAGTGCCTAGCTATACAGACAGTTTTTTATTTTATATGAATCAGAGACTAAGAGAATTAGCTCGCTGCCTGCTCAAGATTCGACTGTTAAGAAGAACTTTATCGATAAGATTGTTAACAAAAGAATCGAAGACAAAAGTTCCAGACAGTCAGGAAGTTTCAAAGCGATCATTTATCTATGTCAGAGTTTTCTACACTATTGCTACAAGACCGGAATTGGTAACAATAAGATAAATTACTTAGGTCATAGTGATGCCAAGGAAAAACTCATAGAATGCAAGACAAAAGTGCTTGCTTTTGAAATTTTTCTTTGAACCGCGGTGATTTCCCAGGTTTCTTAATGATTGCTCAGCACGTTTTCTCCTATAGAAATTACTAGAATTCATTGGCTTACGAAGAAATGCTAATTCAAATTTTACACTGACCAATCTGGTTTGCGGTCGTTTTTTCCCTCGTCTCCTTGTCACGTTCAGAAAGATCGCGATTGCACATATATTTAGATTGCGTGAGGTGGACGAAGACCATTTAAGGACAAATGGAAGAAATGAAGCCAAATTTAAATTTATGTTTGATTTTGAGATACAAAAAAACACTCAAATATTTTCTTTTCGCTTCGTCTCCTACTCTTCGTCACGTTCAGAAAGATCACAATTATACATATATTCGGAGTGCGTGGGGTAGACAAAGACCATCAATGAGAAAGATTGCATTGAAGCCAAATTTGAATTTTTGTTCGATTTTGAGATTCAATATCAAATATTAGGTAATTCCGAAAGTAATTTCGCTTTTTTTAAACGGGCGCCACATCGGATGGAACAAAGGTTTTTTAAGAGATCTTGGAGGCATTAGATGCGGCATTTCTTCTCTTTCTAATGGTTATGAAATTGTTGCAAAACAGTCAATGAGCTTTCAGAAAATAACCAAAATCTGCGACCCATGCTTTTTAAGATGGTCAAGTTTCAAGATTTTTTAAAACTTTCATATCAATCCTCAGAAGGAGTTCAAGTAAAGATTCGATAGAGTAAGCCTTATAGAATACAGTACTACTTTTTTCCCTTTCTCGTAGCTCGCCGTAATTTTTTAAAAGATTTTTCAACAGAACCATCGGATTTTGGCAGGCCCACCTCAATCAACCACAATCGCATCAAACATCAGTAATTGCTCGGAATTTGAGGCTTCCAAGATGATATGTGACTTAATATTGATTTTATAAAGCAAATAAGAGTTTGCGGATTCGAAATACTGAATTTCGAGTTTTTCGGGTACAGCCTTGGGCGCGTTCAAAAACATGAGTTATGATGATTTTTCCCCGAAAACTGAAGAAATCCTATTAAAAAGAGGAGAAAAAGCTGCATCGAATGACACCCGAGCTGCTCAAGGTTTGATGTTCTACGAGGATTTAGCTGTCCAAGTATGGAAATCGGTAGCATCAGTTAAGATTTTGTTAGAAATGAATGACAAGCTATGGAAAAGAAAGTTGCACTGTATTCTATGAGGTTTGCTCTATCGAACCGTCACTTGAACCTCTTCTGAGGATTGATATGAAAGTTTTAAAAAACTGTGAAACTTGACTATCACAAAAAGCATAGGTTTGGTTAGGCAGATTTTGGTTATTTTCTGAAAGCTCATTGACTGTTTTGCAACAATTTCATAACCATTAGAAAGAGAAGAAATGCCGCATCGAATGCCTCCAAGATCTCTTAGAAACCTTTGTTTCATCAGATGTGGTGCCCGTTTAAAAAAAGCGAAATTGCTTTCGGAATGACCTAATGTTTCTGTTAGACGCTGCTATAAAAATTTCAAAATAAGTATCTAATGAATAAACTTTTTCTTTGCATTGTTGGGATTCAAATGGCTCAAAACTACTTACATTCTTTTTATAAAAAAGCCCATTTTTTTGACAAAGCACATCCGCTCAATTTTTTGTGCAGTCAACTGAATGATCTATCCTAAGCGTAGCTTAATCTTGTGCTTTGATCGTATGTTTACGTTCACGAGAGAATTGGTCATTTGGAGTTAACGATGTATTTGGACAAATGGATTACTAAGATACGTATTTCAGGCGAACAAGGAACAAAGAAATGGCAATTACTTAATCTAAAATTTCCATTTCAAATTCGGCGAACAGCCGAGGAAAAATCAGAAAATTTTCGGTATGCATTTATATCAAATTTCGGTAGCAGGTAAGTCATAGTAAAAGTTACCAATTACGCGAAGCTTTTGCAGGTGGTCTTCAATGGAAAGAAGTCTCGCTCTCCTTATAAACTGAGATAATTAGATAAGCTGATAGTTGCCTTTATAAAATTAATATGCAATGAAATCTACGAGAAATCTAGATGCTTAAGGTAAAAGATGGGTTTTCACGTGGAGATCTACATAGAAAGGTGGAATTGCGGGAAACCATGCGGCTCCCGCAGCGAAAGCCCCTGCAAATCTAGCAACTTTACGGTCCACTGGTACACCACAACTTTGATTTTTTGCAATGTTTAAACCTTGGAAATACAGAAGATAACTTCATGATGATGAACTTGGACACTTGAACATTTCATAAATTACGAATGTGAAGGGATAAAAACA